TAACAAGAATGGACCTTAAACAGAGAGAATACCTTGTTGTGGACTTAGGACTCTAAGACATGGGCCACTGAACCACTTTTGCGAAAATGACCTCATTTTGCAAGAACGGCCGATGTGGCAAAAAAGTGGCTAGACATGTAAATTCAACAAGGACGGGCCTGGAAGCAAGCAGACAACTAATTGTGGATTCTAGACTCTCCAAACACGGTTCAACAAGCCACTTCGCAAAATAGCCCTATTTTGCAACAAGGCCGATGTGGCCAAAAGTGGCTAGACATGCAAGATTTGGCTAGGACCCCGCGAAGCCAAGAACGTAAGACTCACTAGGAAGACTGGACCCTATGTGGGCTGCCTACATATCCTGCCCCGAAAGACAAGAATCAGGTGTGCGTAGTTCGGGAAGATTGGATACGGCAGAGAATTAAAAAAATAGTGATTTGGAGAAAACATATTTTTTGACTTTTTTAAAAAAAATGATGAAACATGTAAAATCTTTTTGGATTTTCTTTTCTCTTTTTTTTTGTTGATTTATTTGGAAAATGATGAGAAAGTGCAAAATCTTTTTGGATTTTTCGTTTCACTTTTTTTGTCTTTTCTTGAAAAAAGTTGTGAAAGAAAAAATATAATTGGGCCCTACTCGCTTCATCTTTGTACTTCAGCCTTTTTTCATTCTCATTTATCCTCAACCATCATTGGTCCGCCAAATGATCCATTTACCCTTAAAGAATGCAGCATGTAGCATGTAGGGATGATTAAATGTCTTTTTGGGCAACGGGCCCATTTTGACAAAATTTGGATAGGACTCCTACAAAGTCATACGGTGCCTGGGACCGAGCCCTGCTAGGTCTAAATGACATGATGCAAATAAGCATGACCTAAAAGCTGACCTAAGTTTTGGGGTTCACTAGACAAAGCAATTCGGGGTGGCACGTGGTCGATGGCGGCTGCTCTAGCTGTCCGCCCACTCCACGCTCCCACGCCACCCCCCTAAAGACACGGGTGACTCACAAAAGGCCGTGTACGATCAAACGTACTCCAGAAGACTTGTTGCAGAAAGAAGACCCATGGTTATGCAAATGATGACAATTATAAAGCGCTAACCACATAAGGAAAAGCGATAAACAAATAACCAACAAAACAGGAAATAAGACAAACAAACCAAATAAACAAAGCAAATAAAAAAAACAAACACCTCAACTGAATATCCTAAAAGCCAACAAGATGAAGTATCAGCTCGAACCTGCTACCCCCCAGCAGAGTCGCCAAAGCTGTCACACCCCTTTTTTTTACACCTCATTAACCCTCTTAAATTAATAAAAAGATTTTGAAACTCAAAAGGATTTTCAATTCTGAAAGTGACAAAATTGTGTTCGAAAGGATTTTTCAGAGTCTCCACCTGACATTGGTTTCGGCGTGCCAGGTCACCATTTTTAAAAATAATTTTTCCTTTTAAAACACTTTGGACTCCAAAACTAAGTCTGCACCAGAGATTCAAGGTAAGGGGGTTCATTTGACTTGGGGAGAAGGTGTTAGGCATTCCCCGAGTCCCGTAAAAATCACGGTTGCGTACCCGATCTAGTTGGCTTTTAAAATATTCAATTTGAGGTAAAAACAAACACAAAAAAGAAAAATAAACACACGGGAGGCTCAAGGTCGTCCCCACCTAATAAAAGAAGAATGAAAATAAAAATAAAAATACTAATACTACGAGTGCTACTTTCAGCCTCCAAATATAAATACTTCGGGGCATTCCCTGGATAAAACATTTACAGAGTCTACGGGGCATTCCCCTGAATATGAACTAAGGGACGACCTCTTACCTCAAATAAAAGGAAGAAAACCTAGAGTTTGCCTACCCGAGTGTGGCCGGCCTAAACATGCTCCTAATGGTTCAATTAATCAAAAGAGCAATAAAAAATGTCGTAGTACAAATTTTAACTTCCAATCCAATCCCTCGGCCAAATACTTATTTTGCTATCTAAGTCACTGATCAATCCCATTAACTAGTTATTTTAACACTTTCATCACTAAAATGTTAATTCTGAAGCCTTAAACAATATCCCTTAACAAAGAATTGCAACAGGGAATTTATAAATTCGTCTAAACCGCTGAACTCATCCAAATACATATTAAACTAGACAAAACGAACAAAAGGGGCAAACAAATAACAAGACATCATTAAAATAGAGCAATGGAGCAGTGAATCACATATTAAGCATGGTATTAAGCAAAACGGCGGAAGAGAGGAGGAAATGGACCTCACTGAAATCTTTTCAATTATAGCAGCAATGTATGAATATGAACCTGGACACAAGCTTGACCGGAAAATCGAACAGAGACCGCGACTAAGCTTCGAACCTCGACTGAAACTCTTGTGTTTTAGTGTTTGGAGCTGCTGTTTCGGGTTATTTTTGGCAGCATTTTTTGCTATTTTGCAGCTGATTTTCGCTGCTCCTCTTGGGTGTTTTCGCAGCTAATTTGTTGCAATTCTGGGGTAAGATTTGAGCTGAAATTATGATGGTTTATTGTTGATTTCGTGGCTGTTCGGGGGGCGAACTAGCAGCGTTTTTGCTTGTTTTCGGGTGCTGTTGTGGCTGCGTTTTGGGACTTTATTTTTAGCTACGTTTGGGATCAAGGAAAAAGTATTTTCATGGAGTTTTCTAGCTTGGTTTTATTGGGTTTTCAAACAGATAACTACGATGGAAAATGAACGAAGAAGGTGGTTGATGGAGGAGCTAGAGTGGCGTTAATGGAGTGAAGAGGCTGCTGCATTTTCTTGGTTCTTAGAGGAAAATTCGTCGCTTTTTTGGGTGTCCTTCGGTTCTTTTTTTTAGGGTCTGTCCAAGAAGAAGAAGGGTGCTGAAGGGTCTTTAGGTTAGTAAAGGGTAAGGGTTGTTGGACTTTGGGGTTAATGGGCTAAGGAAATTGGTTGAATTGGGCTAAAAATGGAGTAACTCCATACTATGAATTAAGCACAAATCCAAATTGATTTACTTATCCTAAAAATAAAATACTACTATTATTAATTCATACTAATTAAATAAGATTGTTCTAATTGCAGAAAATACTAAAAATATACATTGAGGTAACAAATAAGACTATTTTTTGTGTTCTTTTTTTTTTCTTTTTAATAAAAATTATGTTAAGACAAAGATAGAGATAAATATGTTAAGCCATAATATATTTGAATTAATACTAACGACTTTAGGAAAAAAAAATAATAATAATAATTCATAATAGGATGGGACTATTTTTGTAGTTTTTAATTTTCATGCTTAAAAAATTAGAATTAAAATTAATAATAAAGTGGAATCCTATAAAAATAAACTCAAATAGATATTCTAAAAATACTAGGGCTGTGAAAGGATAATTCTAATGTGCGGGTCAAAAATTACATGTCTACAATATGTAGGTATTGTTGATAGATTCAGTAAAAGATTGCATAGCGAAAACATTGTGGCAAAATTGTAGAACCGATTGTCCCACCACTTTCCAATATTTTTGAAAGAAGAATGGGTGAAGCCATCAGGACCAGGAGCTTTAAAAAATTCAAAGGAAAAAATAGCCCAAATAACTTCGTTATCCAGTAGGGGATAGTCTAATGAGGACAGACCTAGATTATTAAAAAGACTGGGTCATTAAGGATTTTTGACCAATTTGTTTGGAGATGAGAGGTTGTGAATATCTCCGAAAAGTAATTCAAAGTGTGATCCCTCAAGGAGTTGCGATCATCAATCCATTGACCTTCGTCATTTTTAAAACAAGTATATGATTTCTTCGTCTCCTATTAGTGGTAGTGATATGAAAAGATTTTATATTAGCATCACCTTCATTCATCCACAGGATTCTAGATCTAAGGTTCCAGTAGTCTTCTTCTAACTTAAGAATATTATTGTAGTCATACATTAGATCTTGTTCTAGTTGTTGAAGAAATCTGCTAGTAGGAAATTTAGGAGAATTCTGAATACCATTAAGTCTAGCTAAAAGTCTCTTTTTTCTGTGAAAGAGATCACCAAAAGTTTTCCTTTTCCATTCCAAAATATCGTTTCTAAAAGATCGATCAGCATCACACCCATCTTTATCTTTCCAACTAGAATTAACCACATTAATAAAATCAGGATGTGAGCACCAAATTGTCTCTAACCTAAAAGGTTTCTCATAGTTCCCATTAGGCATAAAGTTCAACTTGATCAACAAAGGTCTTTGGTCTGAGTGGGTTTAGGGCAGGTGGGTAACTGAGGCTTCAGGAAAAAGTGTAGCCCATTTATCGTTACAGATTACTCTATCTAATCGTTCCATAGTTAGGCTTTTCCTCCTTTTCCTATGATTTGACCAAGTGAATTTACTCCCTTTAAATCCCAAGTCAAAGAGGTTACAATAATTTATGTTGTACCATAGTTTGCATGACCTATTGAGACTAACAGGTTTACCACCAAATTTCTTCTCAGCTATTAAAACGTCATTAAAGTACCCTCCTACTAACCACGGGCCTTTATAGGAGTCATAAATATTTTCCAAGTTCTTCCAAAGTAGATTCTATTAACGCTAAACTTGTCTTTTCTTGTTCTAAAATTTCTTGGATAACTTTCCTAAATGGTTGCAGGAAGAAAAATAAATGCTGGCACCATCTTTATTCTCTCTTTTTTCATTTGTGGATGATATTTTATTGAATTTCTAACAAATAAATTTTCCTATAATTTGATAATGTTGAAGAGTTTAAGTTTGGATTTCCATATAATAAAAGCTATATAAAGTACTAATAACTGGTTCGTTATTAATTGTTTCCGGTTAAAGAAGTATACTTTAATTCTGGATAAATATTTATTGTCATTTAGTGCATGCATGCACTAGTAACGTCTTCAAATACATTACCAAACTTCTGTTTCTTTTTCTTTCTGTAACTCCTTTAACATATATTTCTGTTACTTTACTTAAAATTGCCTAAAAGCTTTGTTAATCCTTAAACTAAAAGGAAATTTGAAGAAAGTAAAACTAGCATAATGAAGGGAGGACTCCTTGAAGTTTTTGTTGTAAGTGCCCAAGGCATTAGACACTCCAACATTCTTGGTAAGGATTTAACGTGTATGTACAACAATGTAAAGAATTTTTATATTATTCGTGCATTTTGACGTGTTCTACTAGGTGACTTTGCCTTATTTTTCATTTGCCACTCCAACATTATTGATAAGGGTTTTACATGTATGCACTGATCGTGTACAAAAATTTTATATTGTCAATACATTTTAACTTGCGTAATAGGTGACTTGCCTTATTATTCATTTGCTACTCCAACATTATTGGCAAAGACTTAACTTGTAGTTTATTTTTACAGCTTATTAATTCATTTATTATGGACAGTTACTTGTAATTTTTTGTTTTAGAAAATATTCGGTGCGTAAAAAGTTCTCCTAATTTGCTTTTGGGAAATATGACAATCTTTTATTTTTCTCGTCAACCTCATTACAATTACGGACTATTACTTTGATTTGTGTAGGGAAACCATCGTACTATGTCGTTGTTGAATGTGGATCTCAATCCTACAGAACAAAAACCTCCTCAGGTTTGCTTTTTCTTTTTTCCTATATATTTTTGCATCAATATACAATAACCTGTATAATTTGGCAAACCATCGTACTATATATGTCTCCAGAATCTCAGCAAATTACAAGGGGATACAAAATTAACTCATAAATATATATTGGTACAACAATGTCAGTGATATTCATATCCGTTTTTATGACTTAATTGTTTTTCACTGCAGGTAATTCAAAGGAAATATTGTGGAACGAGAAATTTAAGTTTGAATTGCAAACTTCCAAGTTAGAATTATGGTACTACCTTAAACTAAAAATTATGGACGAGGAATTTTTCACAGCCGGTGGATTTGTTGGTGAAACCACGTAATACCCTTACTTGACCTCTTCTTATCTTTCCTTTTTTTTATTTTTTTTCTTTTATGAAAAACTAAAGTTCTTTTACATCCTTTCTACATATTTATAACTATATATTCGTATATCAGCAAGAAATGTGGTGGAATAGTTGAAATTCCTTCATCCATATATAAAATGTTTTGATATGAAGCATTTTACTTCATTAATTAAACTCATTTAATTTAGTGAATCTGGATTAATAAGACTAATGTATTTAAGATACCAAATATACCTAAAATAAAAGAAAGAAGACCATATGTTCTTTCGCGTGGCTTTATGATGATGTTGAAAAAAATGTTACACAATTAAGAATTTTTTCTATTTTCACCTGAACCAATTCTACAGCAACATATCCTTACTCTTTATTTTTCTTATTATACTACTCCCTAGCTATTTAGTTGAAAAATTTTGTTTTTACTTTTTTGGTTTCTGATTCATGTGAGTCAGAATTTATCTGAAAGGAATAATTACTGAGGGGAATGAAAAGGGATTCATGGAAGTGGCACCAGTTGCTTACAATGTGGTGCTTGAAGATGACACATACAAAGGCCAGATAAAAGTTGGACTCAGATTCACTCCTATCAATGTATGCATCTTTAATCATCCCATGAATGGATTAATTGACTGTGTTGCTCGGATTTTTCAAAACTGTTATCGGGTGTGTGTTGAATCCTCAAAAAACAGTGTACTTTGATGCAACATTTTTGGAAAGTATGAGCAACGTAGGTTATTGGTTCTACTATTCCCATGGTTTATAAAATGGCCAAATTCTTGTTTTTGCAGAAAACAGTACAAACAATGGAAAGAGAAAATGCTTCAAAGGAAAATGTAAATAATGGAGTTGGGCAATTCATCTATAGCAAAATCATTAATCTATGGGGAAACACCTGGTGGAGAAGCTTCATTCCTTATGGGGATGTTAATAGTAGTATTGACAAAAATAAGCCAAATTAGAGTTATTTCTTGTTTCTTTTTCTTACTCTTTTTTGGTACTTTTCTACCTAAGGATGGTAAGGGAATATCCTTTAGCCTTTACTATTTGTTTTGAGTAGTAAAACGTGCTTTGGATGGATGTGGTTCGGACGAGGAGATTTGGTTTTGTCATTCATTACAAATGTTATTATAGTATGATAATTTTTGCAATAGATCAAAAAAAATAATGATGTGACATTCTCGATCCATTCCCAATAACTCTCGGATGCAATAATATTTACCTTTACAAATTACGTATATTTTTTCCCTGACGCAGCTCCCCTTGAAATATGCAACAATTTTGGAGGGCGCTTGTAAGTTTTCCTCTTTCCTGTCAGTATTTAAATATAAAAGATCTTTTTATAGTTTTTACATTATTTTAGTTAAGTCGGCATGGTTCTTTTTTTGTTTTTGTTTTTTGGTTAAGCGGATACATATTATAACTAAAACAAACTACCCGTCAGGGTGTACAAAATGAGTGTTTATGGGTGGGTACATGAGACCTCCCTCTACCAGGCTATTGTTAGCAATATTACAATCCATTGTTTTCCTTTCATAAGCAGTTCTTGCGATGTCTGCCCAAAGTACATGATTGACAAACACCGGAGGAACTGTCGTTACAAAAATATCTTCAAATTTTTTTTTTCCTTGTGCCTTACCTTCGCCAGCATGTCAGCAACTTTGTTGGTCTCCCTGTAGCTGTGCTTCACCACCACGGCGCCTAGTCGTTGGACGATTGACCTGCATTCACAAATAAGTGAGTCAAAATGTAGGTTTCCATTGATTAGCATTCTAATTACCTCTGTTGAATCAGTGTTTATTTCCAAAGGTTTGAGCTGTCTTTCTTCGGCTATTTGTAGTCCTTTTAGGAGTGCTAGTAATTCTGCTTGGGTGTTAGTGGTGTATTGGATTGAGCCCATGTAGCCCAGGATCCAGTTTCCACTTGCATTTCTGAAGACTCCTCCCAATCCTCCCCTTCCAGGATTCCCAGTTGCAGCTCCATCAATGTTAAGCTTATAGGAGTTGTTGTTTGGTGGTTCCCATTTTACCCAGAGAACCTTTTTGTTTTTGGTTTCTTTATCCAGCATTATTGTAACATATTCAATGGCCTTAGCAATTGCATATTTTGAATCTGCCCTGTCTTTTTTATTATTGAAAAGGTTGTTATTCCTTGTTAGCCATAGCCAAAAGCAGAAAGGGAGGAGCTCTTCCCAAGTAATGATACTGTTAAAAGCTTTTTTCTTAAGAGATGCCCAAGTGGTTGGCCAATCTCTGGTGGTGAAAGTGAGAACAGGAGCATTGGTTTCCCTTGTGTTAAGGGAGATGATGTCTTGCCAGAAGATTTTTGAATTAGTATATTCAAAGAAAATGTGTGCTGATGTTTCATTTGCCTGGCTGCACAGATGGCATATGGGGTCTGTTTGTACCCCAACATGGTGGAGATAGGCTCCAGTGGGGAGACTTTCATGGAAAAGTAACCAGAAGAAGGATTGGATTTTTTTGGGAACTTTCAGTTTCCAAATCCATGCAAAATTATGGGTCATGGTTTCCTGCCCTTGGTCCAATATTGAGTAGGCAGATTTTGTGGAGTAAAGACCATTTGGTGTGGCTCCCCAGATCATTCTATCTTCCTTGACTGGGTTGGGTGGAATGAAGGTGTTATAGATGGAATTTTGGATATTTTGGGGGATGGTGATAGAGAGAGTTGAGAGATCCCAAGTTCCAGTTTGGTGAGTATTTGCAACTGTTTTGGACAAGTCTTCTCTTGTCAGAGGACCATGAATTAGGGACCTTATAGCAGGGAGGTTGTTTATCCAAGGGTTATTGAAAAAGCTAACTCTGTTCCCTGAATGCACTACCCATCTTTTTTCTTTCATGCATGTTTCTCATCCTTTTAGGATGCATTGCCAGGTGTGGGACTTAGCTTTTTTGGGAGGTTTCCTCCAATTGCAGTGTTTTGCAATTAGAGTTTTTTGCCCAAAGGGTTGTGGGATTCTGGTATAGCCTCCAAGCAAGGCCTGAGTGCTGGGCTTTATTTTTCAACTCAGCTTTCTGGATTCCCAGTCCCCCCTTATCCTTAGGCTTTCTAACTGTGTCCCAAGAAACCAAGTGTATTTTTTTTAGTGGCAGTAGTGCCCCAGATGAAGTTCCTCTGAACTTTATCAATCTCTTTGGTTGTTTTTGCTGGCGGCTTGATGTATTACATGACATGATTTGGGATTGAGTTTAGGGATGCATTTGCCAGTGTGGTCCTCCCAGTCATGTTAAGCATGCTTGTTTTCCACCCAGCCATTTTTGAGTGGAGATTGTCAATAATGAACTGAAAGACACTATGAGTGGGTCTTTTGTGGAAGAAAACCCAGATACTTTCCAAAGTTTACTGAGGCTTTTATGGAGAGGGTGTTTGAAATGAGCTCCATTTGATGAGGTTGGCAGTTAGCACTGAAGCATACTTTTGACTTAGTGAGATTGATTTTTTGGCCAGATGCCAGATTGAAAGAATTGAGAGTATTGATGATTATATTGCAACTTGATTGGTTAGCTGTTGCAAAAAGAGTTAGATCATCAGCAAAGAAGAGATGAGATATTTTAGGGCCACTTGTGCTGATGCTGATGGGGTGCCATTCCCCCTGAAGGACATTATTGTCAATGTCTCTGGAAAGTCTTTCCATACACATTATGAATAGGTAGGGGGATAGGGATCTCCCTGCCTAATGCCCCTTGTGGGCATGAAAGGTGTGGTTTGCTCTCCATTGACAATAACAGAGATTGTGGAGGAGCTTACACATGACATGATGAGGTTGATGATTGTGTTTGGGAATTTGAAGGCATGGAAGGTTTGCTTAATGAAAGACCATTCTAATCTGTCAAAAGCCTTCTCCAGGTCAATCTTTAGTATCATGCTACCTGATTTTCCCCTCATTTTCCCAAAGTGAGAGATGTACTCTTGGACTATGATAGTATTGTCTGAAGTTCTTCTGTTGGAGAGGAAGCTGGCCTGACTAGGCCCAATGATTTGTGGGAGGTAAGGCTTGATTCTATTGATAATGATTTTTGTTACTGTCTTGTAGACAGTATTACATAAGCCTATGGGTCTGAAATTTTTCATCATTGTGGCTTGAGGGCATTTTGGAATGAGGCACAGAAGGGTTTCATTCATGACTGGCTCCATAGTTGATGTAGAGAAATAGTTTTTGTAGAAGTGGATGACATCCTTACCCACTATGTCCCAGTATTTTTGGTCGAAGAGAGGGTGAAGGCCATCTGGCCTAGGAGCTTCGAAAGGCTTGAAAGAGAAAATGACATTCTTAATTTCACTATCCCTTAGAGGCATCCCAATAGTTGTTTGTTGAATCTGAGAGAGGCAATGACACTGAATTTTAGTGGAGGATAAGCCATTCTGAGACTGAGGGAGGGAGGAGGTATAGAGTTCTTTGAAGAACTTTGAGATTGCTTGCTTGATCTCCCCATCCTCCAGCATCCACTGACCAGAGTCATTTTGGAGGCTTCTTCTATTTAAAGTGGATGTATGGAAGAATTTTGTGTTGGCATCTCCATTTGAGAGCCATTGGATTCTGGACTTCGTCTTCCAAAAGTCCTCTTCATTTTTCAAGATAGAGTTGGGCTCCTCAATGATTGCGTTGAGGTGCTACTGGGATAGAGGGAGGATTTTTGGATTCCTGCTATTCTTGCTAGCAGCCTCTTTTTTTTGTGGAAGATGTTCCCAAAGGTATGCCTATTCCAATTGAGACCATTAAGCTTGAACAGGGTGGTGGAAGGGATTAGAGTAGAGTCAGGATTGAAAGAATCCCTAACTAGGTTTTGAAACATAGGGTGGCTGCACCACATTGATTCAAACCTGAAGGGTTTATTTAGAGGACTAGGACTGTTATTGCTTAGATTGACAAGCATGGGGCAGTGATCAGACTGGATCCTGGGTAGGTGAGTTATATTTGCTTCAGGGTACTCATTTATCCAATAGTTATTTGCAAGACATCTGTCAATTCTTTCTAGTATTAGATAGGTTCTATTTTTGTACCTCTTGTTAGACCAAGTATACTTACTACCTTTAAAACCTAGGTCTACAAGTTGACAGTTGTTAATACAATTCCAGAAAGAGTTGCTTCTGTGGGTGTTTATAGGGTTTCCCCCAAATTTGTCTTCTGTTTTAAGGACTTCATTAAAGTCCCCACTCACAAACCAACTTCCTCTATGTGTTTTGGAGATATCAACTAGACTATCCAGAGTCTCCTTCTATCCTCAATGTGGTTACTGGCATAGATTGCAGAAAAAAACCAGGGTGGGTTTGAGAGTAATACCTTGACCATGGCATGGATACCCTGAGAGTTGACAGCTACCCTATCAACTTGGAGGGAAGTATCCCTCCACATAATCATTATACCTCAAGAGTGGCCAACAGTAGGGAACTGAATGTGCATGTCGAATTGAAGCTCCTCAGTAAGCTTTTTGTGCTCTGCCATTTGGTCTCCAGGAGAACTAACATCATAGGCTTATGCATTTTGACCATTTATGAGCAGTGCCTCTTAAACTCTGCACTGTTTTCCCCTTTAACATTCCATATTATGAAATTCATTAGAGGGTTCAGTGTTGGAGGGCTGGTGTTTGTTGATGCTTTCTCCCTGCCCTGGGTTGCATCACATCTCTTCCCCTGTGTTGAGATTGTTGGGATCTCATCACTGGGGTTAGGGTCAAAAGGGGTTTGAGAGTACCTTGGTTCAGGTGAGATGAGAAGTCCATTCCGCAACGAACTAGGCTCTTTGGGCAAAGTAGGATCAATGTCTCGCTGTGTTCCACCCTGAATTCCACAGCCCTTGCTGCTTCCAACCACAGTGAGTCCACTCTCACTAGGTTGTCGATTTCGTGGTCCACTGTCACCTCGTTGTTCCTCAGTAGCTCCAGAGCTGTTGAAATTCCTTTGGAGATGTTCCCCGGAGGCGATTGATGTTGCTTCTCTTGTGGTG